CCGTGGCTTGTCCTCCCTCGCGTCCGAGCGCCTGGCTCCCGCCCTGTCCCGCCCCAGGCCCCCTCATGGTGATCGTGGAGTTCTGCAAGTATGGCAACCTTTCCAACTTCTTGCGCGCCAAGCGGGAGGCCTTCAACCCCTACGCGGTAGGTGGGCGCCCTGCCGGCGGCCGGAGCGCTGCTCGGGAGCCGGCTGGGCGCCAAGGTGGGCTGCCGGGAAGGGGGAGCGCGCCTCTGCCGCGAATGGCGAGGGCCGCCTCGGATCCACTTTGTGCATTCGCAGGAGAAGTCTCCTGAGCAGCGAAGGCGGTTCCGCGCCATGGTGGAGGGGGCCATGGCAGACCGGAGGAGGCCAGGGAGCAGCGACACGGCCCTCTTGACGCGGCTCCTGATGGGCAAGGGCGGGGCAGGGCGGGCCCCTCGAGTCCAAGGAGGTAAGAGTCTGACTTCCTGTTGCCCAAGGTGTCTGGCACGATCACACCTCATGAGCAGGGGCCCTGGGACAAGCCAGCTGGGGCTCTCCTGGAGGGCCTCGCGTGGGAGAGCCTTAGCAAGGGAGGGCACCTCAAGGATAGTTTTCACTTTAGACGTTTGATTTGGGCATCTCTAGATGAATAGGGGCTTGCCTTGCAGACATGGTGGGGAGCAGCCCCAGACAGAAGTAGCAGGTGCAAAGGTCCAGTGCGGCAGCAGCAGCCTCTGCTCTGAGTAGGTAGTGGGTGTTACAGAGTGGAGGCTGAGGGGCAGGGGAGGCCAGCATGCTCATTGCCCAGCCAGGAGGGATGCAGCCAGATTCAGCACACAAACGTCCCCTTGGGGGGCGGGGTGGAAGATGGGAGTCATGGAGGGGGCCCCCTCCTGAGCCAGCCTCACTCTTTTGTGCAGCCGAGGACCTGTGGCTGAGCCCACTGACCATGGAAGACCTTGTCTGCTACAGCTTCCAGGTGGCCCGAGGGATGGAGTTCCTGGCGTCCCGCAAGGTGACTGCCCTGGCAGGCTCTCCCGAGGGGGAGAGAAGCCAGACCTACCTGCCTGCCAAGCTTGGTCCTTGTTCTGCCCATGATGATACTGTGGTCAAGGGGCATCTCTCTCGCTTTGCAGAGGCGGGAACTGAGCCTAAAGGGTGGAACTGACTTCCCAAGATCTCCAGCTGGTCAGAGGCAGAGCTGGATGTAGAATCCATCTGCCCAACCCCACGGCCTCCTCCGCTGTCACCACAGTTACAGGAGCTCTCTCCATGGCGAATCCTGGGGGCACACAGAAATCTGTCCCCGAAAGAGCAGAGCTCAGGCAGGGAACCCTGGAGCTCCAGGTATGGGTGTGGCCCCAGGGATCTGCTCTAATCGTACCATTGTGCCTCCTCCCGCCTCCAGTGCATCCACAGAGACCTGGCTGCTCGGAACATCTTGCTGTCAGAAAGTGATGTGGTGAAGATCTGTGACTTCGGCCTGGCCCGTGACATCTACAAAGACCCCGACTACGTGCGCAAGGGCAGTGTGAGTGCCATGGAGGGAGGGCGGAGGCTGAGGGGCAGGGAGCAGAGTGGGGGACTCACCCCCACAGGGACGCTAGTGACTCTGCTGAATGACTGGAAGCAGATGAAGGGAGGCAGGGCTGATGAGCAGGGACCATGATGCTCCAACTGGAACTTGTGTCTGGCCCTGCAACTTGGTCCACTAGGTGGGCAGTGATGCCCCATGCATGCCCCATGGGGGCTGGGCATGCGGAAGCGGACCCTACGTGTTGTCTGTCCTGGAGCTGGCTAGACCTGGTATGACACAATGTACCTAGTGTACCTGGTGTAGCAGGGTCACAGAAAAGCACGTGGGTGCTGGGTGCAATGTGTGTCTCACTGGTGGTGCTCAGAGGCAGCCAGGCAGGCATCTGAGCATCCGAAGCTGATAGGATGTTAGGGGTTTGCCCCCTGGGGAGGAAGGAAAAGGCTTGGAGAGAGGGCAATGGGCAAAATGGGCCCAGGCTGCAAGGGGCCCACTGTACAGGCTTGTCCTTCATTCTCACTCCAAGTGTGTGGGGGCACTTGGAAGTGAGAGTCAGATGTGCCATCCGGAAGCCTCCTTTGCAGGCTAGGAGGAGAAGGGAGTGGGGTTGCTGGTGTGGAGGGAGAGGCCAGTCAGGAAGGGCCATAGCCCTCAGGGCTTCCAGGTAGAGGCCACAGGAGGACGGGTCAGGAGTGATGCCAGGCTTCCAGTGTGGGGACCAAGTGAGTGAGTGCATAAAAGTGGCGCTGGTGAGGGTGTACAGGGACACAGCGTTCCTCGGGATGCGGGGCCGAGAAGTCTGGAGCTGGAGGAGGGCTGCAGGTTTTCCCTGGGAGAGCACAGCGGAAGAGAGGGGCCCAGATGGGTCCAGAAGAACAGCAGCAGGGCAGAAGCCTCCAAGGGAGGCGCCAGGCACCTGCAGGATGCGGACGAGGGGCAGAGCGAATTGCAGGAGCCATCTGAACACACACAGGATGGGTGTGACCCAGAAGCCTTTCTTGAGGCGTGACTCTAGAGTCCTGCAAAGACTGGGAAGAGGAGGGGGGTGCCCGAGGGTTTGGCCTCTTCCCTCCCTCCCTCCCCCACTGGGGACACGACGTCTCTCCTGCAGGCCCGGCTGCCCCTGAAGTGGATGGCCCCCGAGAGCATCTTTGACAAGGTGTACACCACGCAGAGCGACGTGTGGTCCTTTGGGGTGCTGCTCTGGGAGATCTTCTCCCTGGGTGAGTGCAGGGGGGGGCAGGGGGGATCACAGGCTCCGGGTCGTATCGCCAGCCTCTCCGCACAGGGGGCTGCGTGGCCCAGAGGTTTAGCCCAGGTCGTTCTGAGGCAGGTGGTGGGGAGCCCCCTACCTCTCCCCTTCACCTCCAGCATGGGCCACCTGCGCACCACCTGGAGGGCAGTGCGCTCCAGCCTGTGCCAAGGCAGAACCCTTTGTTCGCTCAGCAGCCCCTGGGCGCACGACAGGTCCCAGAGGGAAAGGCCATACGAGTTTCTCCAGATCTCCCCCTCCCTGGCTGAGCCCCCTCCTCACCTGCCCTTGGGGCGGCCGGGAGGAGACTGGGGGCTCACTCAGTGACCACACCTGTGCAAGCTCCGTGGGAACCTGGGCCCCGCTGGGACCAAGATGAAGCCCCCCCACCCCCGCCCTCCACCAGGGTAAGGGTGAGGCAGTGAACACACTGAAAACACTGAGTGGCAGCCATGACCAATGACTCTTGGTAAAAAGAAAAGAGCGTGGAGAGAGCGCAGGAAGGATGGATTGTGTGTGAGCCGGAGGGGCTGGGAGGGGTCGGGCTGATGGAAGTGGGAGGGGTGGAGGCAGGGGGCCTGGGAGGACAGCAGTCCAGGGCGAAGGGCAGCCGGACCCACAGTGGAGGCGGGCAGGGTGTGAGCAGGCGGCCAGGGGAGATGCAGCAAGAGGGGGCCCGCGCGGCCCTGCAGGCCAGGGGAGGACCTGAAGTTTAAGTCTACTGGGAGCTGTGCGGGGGTTTTGAAGGAAGGAGAGAGCAGTCTGACTCGTATTTTAAAGGGTTGCCCGGCTGCTGTATGGCTTGCAAAAGCTGTTTTCCCCCCTCGTCAGGAAAGGCAAAGTCCTGGGAAGAGAGGGCGGCGAGGAGGGGTTAGGTCCAGGGCCTGTTTGCTGGCAGAGCCACGGGACTCAGGGCAGGACTGGGGAAGGCATCTCCGAAGAGGGGTCACTGTGACAGGGCAGCCCAGCTGATTCAGCACCCCCAGCCCGGAGACTCCCAGGATGGGACACGTTTCCACTAACATCTCTGTAAAGCGCTGATGCTCATGGCAACCCTACCAAGCAGGTGCCATCACAGTCTTAACCAAATGAAGAGCTCGCCCTGGGCAAGGGGGCAGCAAGATGAGCGCCTGGCCATCAGGGGCCAGGACAGAGGCAATTTGGGGTCTGGGCTAAACAGCCATGGCCGGCTCCCCACCCACCCCACCCCATCCTGTTCCTGCCATCAGGGGCCTCCCCGTACCCTGGGGTGCAGATCAATGAGGAGTTCTGCCAGCGGCTGAAAGAGGGCACCCGGATGAGGGCCCCAGAGCTGGCCACTCCTGCCATGTGAGTCTCCTAGGAAGCCCTCAGGCACTGGGGGGCCAGAGGGATGGGTGGGCACCACAAGGGAAAGGGGAGGGGAGATTGGATACAGGCATGGGACGGGGTGGAGGGGGCATGCAGGCAGGGGGAGGAGATCGAGGTCCTACAAGCCCAGGGCGGGTGGGGAGAGGGGTGGGCTGCAATCTAAGTTCCCACTCCAAGTGATCCACTAACTCCCCTCCCTGCAGGCAGGAGAGACAAGCCAGCCTAAGCCCAGGGGGAGGGAGGGAGAGAGGGGCGTGTGGAAGGGGCATGAGAATGGAAGCTAGGCAGGGGGCGGGGCGGGGGGACTGCTGGCGTAAGGTGCAGCGTGCACTCAGACCACAGTCCCCAGCTGCCTGTACCCACAGACGCCGCATCATGCTGAGCTGCTGGGCCGGGGACCCCAAAGAGAGGCCCGCGTTCTCAGACCTGGTGGAGATCCTGGGGGACCTGCTCCTGAGCAGGGCCCGGCAGGTGAGCCCCGCTCTCGCTGTCCTGCTGCAGCAACTCCTGGCCCCCAACCCAGGGGCCGCGACACAGCTGGTCAGAGCCCAGCTCTGCCCACGAGGAGCCCCAGGCTGGGCTTGAGGGAGCCTGCAAGGAGCCGCCTTCTGGCAATTCCTTCTCTGCCCCTTGCCCCCGCTTTTGGTTTGTGTCCATCTCCCCAGCGGTGGGGAGCCAAGCCAGCTCAGGACTGGCTCTGCACCAGGTGCCCTGGGCCCTGGAGGAGTGAGCGGGGAGCTGCCTGCTGCCCCAGCCTCCGGGGCCGGAGACGAGCACTCGGGGTCCAAAGCTGCCCCCGGGAAGAGGGTGGGGAGCACTTGTGCTCACTCCTGAGGCTGTGGAGCAACCAGGGCTCAGGGGTGAAGCTGCTCTCGCTGTGGCTGCCTCCTCCTCTAACGGGGCACCTGCTAGTCCTTGGAGCCTTGGAGCGCAGCGCTGGGGGCTGGGAGGCCAGCTGTCCTGAGCGCGGCGCTGCGGGCCGAGGGCGCGCGGGGCCTCTGACCTGGGCTGTTTCTGCCATTTCTGCCAGGAAGAGGAGGACCGCCTGGCTCCCGGCAGCTCTCAGAGCTCGGAGGAGGGCAGCCTCTTGCAGGCATCCACCACGGCCCTGCACATCGCCGAGGCCGACGCCGACGCCGAGGACAGCCCACCTAGCCTGCATCGGCACAGCCTGGCTGCCAGGTCAGCCACCCTCCTTCGGTCCACGGGTCCCCCGACAGGGGGAACGCAGTTTGGACATGGTGCACTTTAACCTCTTCAGTCATCAAGGGAAAGCAAACTACAAAGACTTCAGAGGCCATTGTACACCAACCCAGACAGCAAAGCGATGCTAAATGACAGTGGCGGCGGGTGACATCCTGCCTCTAAGGTCATGTGGCCTTGCAACAGTCCTTGTATCTGCCTTCTGGCCTCCTGTGTGTGCCCACACTCCTAGCCCCGGGAGGCCCTCTCCCCAGTTTCAGGGGAGCACCCATTTCAGACAGTGCCCTGGCCAGCACCGCGCCACAGGGAGAGAAAACGGAGCCAGTGGCAGAAGGGCGAGTCCCACGGGCTGCTGTCAGGGACCCCGGGAGCAGAGCAGGCCACTCGCTAACCTGTATGCAGCATTTACAGTGTAGCCTGGGTCTCCAGAGTTCTGGACAGGGGTCTCTTGCCAGTGGACGTTTCCACCAGGAAGGTCACGTATCCACATTCCCATCCACACTGCTGAGAGAAGGGCTTTGAAACTCGCCACCCCGTCTGCCCCAGCTCGAGCAGGGCCCGGTCTGGAGGACAGGAGCAGCCAGCTGTTTCTTGCCAGGCTCCTTCCACCAGCCCCCCAACAGGCAGGCGAATGTGTGTGCGCGCGCACACACACACACACACACACACACACACACACACACACACA